AACTCTTGGGCTACTCTTTCACCAACGAATAGTGGGATTGACCGTCACGTTATAAAGCCCCCACGGCTGAAAGGTGTGACAGGGATTCGAACCCGCGACCCTCAGATTGCGAGTCGAGTGCCGTAACCACCTGGCCATGCCGAGCCGTTTGTTTTAGTACAAAGCCGAATTGGGCTATTTGCTGCATCCACCGCGGAAATTGAGCCCCGGAGTTTAACGTTGTGAGTAAACTTACCTCTGTCCCACCAGGTGACACCCCATCAAGTGATTCCGAACACTAAAAATACTATAAAAACAACTCTTTTCGAAAAGTGGTTGAGCGTACCTCGTGATCTTATAAAATCCCTGATTATAAACATGCAGCATTTGCTACCCTTATTCTTCATGGTGACCATTCTTGTTTGTTTTTAAATTTTGCGCAAAGCTACACGAGGGCTATCTGCGCTAGCCGTCCCTAATTTAGCAGTGTAAGACTAGAGGGAAGGCAGCTAGTCATCACCACCCACCGCCAACTCTTGGGCTACTCTTTTACCACGGCTGAAAGGGCGAGCATGTTTGGTTGGACGGGGATTCGAACCCGCGACCCGCAGATTGCGAGTCGAGCACTCTAACCACCTGGCCATGCCGGGCCACATGTGACCATTTTTTATATTGAAGTAAGTGTCACGAACTGTAAAGATATAAAGCTACCTCTACTAAATATTCATTTAGAGTTTACGTTAAATGACCAGTAATTTGCATTTCAGGTTACATAAACAATTATCAGGTAGCAAGTAAATACAAAATACCGTGTACAGTAATATAAAATGATATAAAATAAAATGTACATCCACTACTGTTGGAACAAGAAGTTTTTATGTAAACAAGTTTCGACACTTTCACGTGTCCTCTTCGGTCCAGCTTTTCATAGTTTTCAAGTTTTTATAACTTGCATATGTATGAGCTGACAGTGGGTGATTAACATTATTTCATTATAGTATTTTTGCTTTATTTTTACTGAAATAATATGAATTCAGTTTATTGCTTTGTGTAGTGTATTTAATAAATATAGATCTTAACTCAATGGTTCTATAGCAATGACAGTTTTATTAGAGCTAAAACCTACCTGTAGGAGCACACCTTTTGATCAATTAAACAGCCTCTGATAAAATCCTGTGCGCGAATTCCATACTTTTTGAAATCATTTCGGGATAGTCTGTCATTGACTAGTGTATTCAGTAAATTAGGAACAAGTTCCAAGACACTAGACACTAAGTTCTTTAGATTCAACCCTGTCAGATCCAGCACTTTAGAAAGAACGGTATTTTCTAAAGTGTCTTGAAGCTTACCAAGGATGTCGTTTATCTGTAGGATATTGCCAGTGAGATCTAACTTAGTAACATCTTCCAAAAGACGAGTTGACAGTGTTTCGGGAAGATTGCTTATCTGCGATATCACATCTTTTAAGATTTGGTCAGTAACTTGGTTGACAACTCCAACAAGACTCTTGTTAAGTGGGGAGACAACATTATTCACCACCTGAGTGGTCAAGTCGAGAATGATGTTGCTGATTAAGTTTGCATCTAGTACATCTAGAACGTTAGAAATGAGAGAATCTCCAGATAAAAGCTTTGTGGGATCCTGAAGAGAGCTTGTGATATCACCTGTCAGATCATTTGTGGCTTGTTGGAGACTGTTTAATGTGTTTTTAAGTAAAGAATCTGAACTATTAATCACCTGATCTGTAGCTTTATCTACTATAGAATCAGTTATTTGACTTGTTTTGTCAACTACTTCCTGAAGAGAGCTTGTGATATCACCTGTCAGGTCTTTTGTAGCTTGTTGGAGACTGTTTACTGTGTCTCCCAATAAGGCAGCTGAACTAATGACGTTATTGGTAACGCCGTTTACTATAGGATCAGTAATTTGGATTTTGTTTTCTATTTCATCTAAAACATTTGTAAAGGCGGCCGCCTTAGTAAACACATTTAATGACTGGTTTTTTACAATTGAATTCTCCTCTACAAGTCCCTCTGTGAAAGACATTGGTTCATCAATGTCTAACATATTGGTTGGAGATAGTGTTTTGTTTAGCATGGACTCTTTCAATAAATCTATGTTCGATGTTGTGAAAGGTATATCTTTGATTAAGCTTTTTGTTACTGTATTTTCCAATATTTGTTTCAAGTGAGTGGTCAGTTCAAGCCCTATGGCCTCAGTAACAGGTTCTAATAGTTTCTTAGTCATCATCTGTGTATTTAAAGAGCCAATAGCAACGTTCTCTACTAATCCCTCAGAAGTATTTGTCTTTTGATGTAATAGTGGAAGCGAGGTGGTTCCTTGTATAGGGTCTTTAAGATTACTTTCTTTAACGTTTCTGTAATGCTACTAACTACTTTATTTGCCAAAGTCTTGGTAACTTCTTCTTTAACCAAAGTTTGCTGAAGTAATGAAGGAAGAGCAGTAGTAACTTGGAGAATGTCATCAACCAGCTTTTCGGCTTGGGTCTTCAAACTTGTTTGTACAGTTGCCTGAACGACTTCCTGAATGAAAGTAAAAAAGATCAAGAGCGGATGAATAGTTTCATGATGACGAGAAACTCACTTGAAGTAAAAATGTATAGCAGAGACGGCTGGTATGAGTATTAAAGACTTTAATTAAAATAAAGTATAAGAAGAACGTTTCGACCTTCTTAGGTCATCTTCAGGTTAACAAAGACAGTTTGAGACCTAAGCAGGTCGAAACGTTGTTCTTGTACTTTATTATAATTAAAGGATTAATAGTTTGATCAAAGAATAAAACGATCAATTTTCTTTAAGTAACTAAAATGTAATAATAAAAAAATTCAACAACCTCTCGGAAAATAACTTAAAAATCGAATAAAACTAGATAATCTTCTGAAGAGAAGAAGATTGGTTGAATTATTACAATAGAGCATAACCTTCTAAATAACTTGTAAAGATTGTATACATTGATGTAAAGATAAAATATTAAATTTTAAACTAAGTGATGGATTTAATAAAACACTTTGAATAATTTAAGGTAAAAATATGGATAGTAGTGTGTATAATTTGGAGTCAGCTCACAACAAAATAGATTTAATCGTTTGATGTAAGGCTGTAAGTAACAGTTATTTTTCTCAATGCTAAGCCACACTCTGTCCACCGTGAAAATTCGGACCCTGGTTTTTAGCGTTGTAAATCTGCTGAACCACCAAAGGACAATAAAATATCAGAACAGTTGAATATATTTCTTAAGAGATCAAATAGCGTTAAAAAAAGTAAAAAAAAAACTTTTCAAAAATGAATCTGACGAAAATAAAGGAATAAATAGTTGACTAATATCATGAAAAGGCAAAAAATTGCAAAACAGAATGCATAAATCTTTAAAAGATAGATTTAAAAGACCTGACCAGAGCAGTGAGAATAATCTTTTAGACAGATATAACAAACAATGTATAATTATTAATTTCCGATAAATTAATATTTAATTTAATAAATTAATAATCAATTACTTTTTAATGTAAAAAGGGACCAAACTTTGTCTACTTTGGCGTTATACGTTGCACTATTTAATGGAGCAGATAAGAACAAGAGTAAAAAATGTGAACTATTGAACAATGTCTAGAGGGACATGAAAGGTGGCCAAGTTCTAGGAAGGCCAAAGAGGACATGGAAGGTGGTTAAGTTCTAAGAAGGTCAAAGAGAACATGAAAGATGGTCAAGTTCTACGAAGGCCAAAGAGGACATGAAAAATGATTAAGTTCTAGGAAGGTCAAAGAGGACATGAAAGATGGTCAAGTTCTAGGAAGGTCAAAGAGGACATGAAAGATGGTCAAGTTCTAGGAAGGTCAAAGAGGACATGAAAGATGGTCAAGTTCTAGAAAGGTCAAAGAGGACATGAAAGGTTATTAAGTTCTAGGAAGGTCAAAGAGGACATGAAAGGTTATTAAGTTCTAGGAAGGTCAAAGAGGACATGAAAGCTGAACAACGTCCTAGAATAGCATAAAAATGATTAAGAACTCTTTGATGATGCATAAAATAAGAAGATTGGCTGATGATGTTTGAGAAACACGTAGTAAAACAGTTCCTGATAAGTATTTATTGAGTGGATATAAAGTAAAATAAACTATGGCACAAATTTAGCTTAGGAAAAGGACTGAGAATAACTCAATGTTTAGCATGCTAGACTGTGGAGCTGAGTTTCTGTGTTTCGCGTCCTGTCACTGCCAAAAACATTACGCTCCGCACGTTGGGGCCGTGTGTGCGTTAAAAGAATGACGGTCAAATCCTACTTTTCGGTCTAACAAGAGAAGTCCAAAGTGTAGGCGATGAATGGTATTGGCTATCTGCATTCCCTCTAGTCTATCACTTAAAGCTAGCGATGGCTAGAGCAGATAGCTTTTCAGGAAATCCAACAAACAAACAAAAGCTTAGGAAAATCATGTTCGCTACTCAAACGTTCCCCCATTACTTTCAAAGTATATATATCATAACAAAAACGAATAGATTTCCCAGGTGTCGACATTTCTTCTCATATGCGAAATTATCGTACATTTTTTTCTGATATATATATATATAAACTTTTAAATCATCATTTTCTGATCATCGGCAGTGCATAATAATCAAGCATAAAGTCGAACTAAATTCAGAAAAACTATTATTTTTAGCAAAACAACCCTAAATAAACTTTCTTAAAATTCTAACAAGAAAAGCATGCTCAGATTGATATACCGAATTCTTAGTGCTACTCGTGTACGTATCTTCTCTATGTGTGAGGGGATGAGGAGTGAGGATTTTATGTAATCGAACAGTGCTTATTATGACATAACGCTGAGGCTACAATGATTTTTCACCCATCTTCGTCACTCTACAATGTTTATAATGGTATTTCGGTTCGGTGTATAAGTGCTTAATCACGGAAGATATTCAGCACAATACGTGTTTATTATATAACACTTTTTATGATGCTTGCTAGATGGTCTCAAATTTTTCTGTTCGTTCAATTTTAGAAATATCACTTAACCTTTTGTATCAGACCGTTCCCCCTCATTCCTGACTTGTAGTTTTGCTGTATTGTTTGTTTATTACGGAATTCTTGCGCAAAGCTATATTCAAGGGATATCTGGTAGGCAGCTGGTCAACATTACTTTTCCTATTTACAACCAGAAGTGGACCGACACATCATCCGTGAACCAGTTTAACGTTTAATTCAGTTTTTGCAACCTGATTAGTCTCAGTATCATTCAGTCGCACAGTGGCAAATAACGTACACAGATGCGCAAAAGTTATACGCAAATCAATAAATATTCATTACATTGGATTAAGCTTTCCAGTAAAAAATAATGACGTATATCTTTTTATTTCTTGTTTAAAGTTGAAGCTACATATTAAAGAAGAGAAAATCAAAATTATAGAGATAACCTGGCGGACAGAACAAATATTAATTATATTTCACTAAAAAGTTATTATTTCGTGAACTTCACAAGACAAATATTAGCAGTTTTTTCTTTTTGTTTTCGAAAACAAAAAGAAAAAAAACGATGCAGTTATCTATTCTTGTTCATGGTTGTCTACAGATACTTAGTACCAGAAAGATTGGTTGCTTGACAGGATATTACTTTTACATTTTTCAAACAGTAAACCAGATTTTCACATAAAAAGGTTTGCCTTTTTAAACTATTTTTCACGAAAATACTTGTGCAAAAACAACCCTTTCAAATCATAAAACATATTAATTTCAAGTCTTTTTTAAGGCATAAAGTATTCAGTGCATTGAATGCGTTTGTTTTAGTTTTTTTAGTGTTATTCTTGTTATTTTCCTATGTAGTAGGCTCTCCTACTTTTTGAAATTAAATAAAATGATCTAGTTTTTTTTAATTGAAACAGTTTTCTATTTAATCACTAAAGATTGATAAAGAAAGACAGCACTAAACCTACTGACCTATTGTACATTTCTGGGTTACTTAATTGAAAAGTACTGTACACGATCCAGGCTAATGCATTTCTGTGTTCACAGTTACATGCGACATCTATCGAACTGTATTAAATGTTAGTAACAAAAAAAAAGAGGTCAATGTTTATGCACATAAGAGGCTAACACAAAATTCTTGTTGTACACTTGATCATAGTGAATATTTGTTTCCATACATTTAATATAGACAAAGGAAACTTAGGTAATTATATCAACCAACCTAAAACCCTACTCTCTTCTGCGAGATTCAAAGGCCTCTTTATGATTCGCATAGACCCCAATGTAACGATAAAGCTCCTTCATTAGCCTCAATTACTTCTATAGCTACCCCAAGGGGGATCCACACCTTTAAAAAAAAACCCTTAGGACAGTCGCCCGCGGTACCTAATTACGTGTCGAGTTGGGTGTGCTGTAGGTTAAGCAGCTATATTCATCTCATTCTGTGAAAAAACCAGTTATAAATATTTCAGTTCAAAGAAAAATAAAATATTATTTACAACATTAAGCGAAAACACAAAGCATGTAAGACATGTTATACACCCTTGGCTGTCAGGTTTTTCAGCCTTGCATGATTGTAACCTGCAGTCTCAAAAACAGAAGAATAACTGACTAGGTTCAGTCCCAGCTACATGGATTGAAGGTCAATGCCAGTGCTGCAACTGAGAAACTAGGAGGTACTTCAGAAATCTTCCTTGCCATCAGGTCGGTTGAGATAATATGACGCAGTGCTTTCACGTTCTCCAATCAAAACTAATTTCAACACCCAATTCCTGGCCCAGCTTTTATATGGGAGCTGTTGTTCATGTCTGCACCTCAGTAAGTTTATCAAATAAGAATCATAGTGCCTGGTGAACGTTTATCCCACATTTATAAATTGGGCAAAATTTGGCAGTCTTTATAACACGTTCAACTAATCTAAAACACTGAAGATAATATGGTAAAGTGCATATTTTTATCACCCCCCCCCCTAATACCAGCACAATTCTGGAAACAATAGCACGCTATCTAATGCTCAGGCTGGTAAACTGAAAGATCAATAAAGGTCTGACAGCAACAGTGTATACAAAACGGATACAATGTATATATTTGATTTATGTCAAGGCTAGAATAATTTCAGCTAGCCACCCTACAAGAAAACCGTCGTACCTGCCCAAGTTGGTGGCCAGATCTAACCAAGATCCCACTAGATTTAACTAGCTAGAGCAACAGCAGTCATATCTTTTCATTGGCCACCTGCTGTTTCCTAACGGTTGGTTGAGAAGAAACCCGCCTTTTTTGTTGGAGTATATAAACAATTTCTTTTTCAATGTCCATGCAGACCACTATTGAATCAAATAATATACCTGCTCTTATGAGGTGCCATCTCTGAAGCCTTTACAACTACAATGGCATTTCAGCTGAACTTCATTACTTCATGGTACTTATGGCACACAAACTATAGGTGTTTAGAGTTGAATGAGACATTGCTATCACTGACGCACACTTTGAAGGAGTATCAGTATCTACAACTACCATTCTTGGCTTCCTTTTCTATGGTAATTTCTATGACGTGACAGCACTCTTACCAAAAAATGAGATGACCCTGACATTCATAAGCTGTAACATAGTTTTATTTGGAACACTCTCAGCAGACGTTTCAGTGAGGAACTCCTCAAAATCTTTTAACACCATATTATTAAGTAAAACAGAGCCAAAAGTTTAACTATTAAGAATTCAATTACAATGTGAAACTCAACCAAAAGAAACTGAGATGCGATATAAACATTTCACTTGAAAACAAAATTATTTTATTAAACAATTTACAAACAAATCAACAGTGAGTGATGGCTGGGAAAATAACTTATTTCCACATATTTCAAGTTTCTATGTATTAGCAGCAACACAAGGTAATTCGGGCACATTCATCAGGAAACCAAAGAAACTAGAATTCTCCACCAAATCTATTTTCTCGCGCAACCACTATTTGTAACAAAATTACTCCAATCCAGCTCTATAAAGTGAACATGAACATCGCGAAAGAAGATACAGATGTTCTCCTCTTATTTCAAAAATTTTATCAATAAGACTAGTTATAGTCGAAAATGGGCACATCCATACTGTAATCTTGAAAACAAAATTACATAAATACATCTGAATAGCGATATATTTATTTTCTAATATATGAAAAGGCAACATACATAGTATTTGTATACTACAGCCTTATCACTTCTCATCGTTAACAGGTCGACTCTTTCAAAGGAATTATGGGTTCTAGCACTGGACCAAGAAGCCCTGTAACCAAAGCAGCATTAACCAGACCACAAACAACACTTACATCGACCCTAAAGGAATCTCAAAAGAATGTGCGTTCATTGGTAGGGTATTTAACTTCTGGATGTTTCAAGAAATGGAAGCATTGCATGACCATTTTGCCCTATCACTGTGCATCTCATAGTTTGCATAAAGCTAATAGAATAGACGCCCTATTAACGACCGGTGTAGGAGATCCTGCAGACGAATCGCATCGTAGCTCTTGTTATGTGACCAGGGCAAAAACACAATCATTACCTCTCTGTCAGCCGTCATCTCACCAACCGAGAGACTGAAATATCTTTCAAAAATATCTCCGAAAAGCTCCTAATAAAGATTAGCTTTCTAGATGGTGAGTGATAACACTAATATTGTGAAACTAGGTAGACAGAGATCTTAGCAATTCTGTTGTAGGAGAAGGGCAGTGGCTTTGAAGGACTTCTGTTCTTTTATCATGAAGTTTCAAGCTTCCAACAACAACTTGTCATGAACCTGTGGTATTAGATGCTGCTTGTAACACATAAATAGATTAGCTTAGGTTTGGAAAATATGCTGTAAAAGTCTTTAGAGTTTCATTAATATGATATTCCAACTAGTTTTATAGAATTTTTTATAAGCCTCAGTTTAAACTTGTTGATTTAATAATCATTTGTTTTCGTCCTAACACATATTTATATTCTAAATGTATAGAAAAGTTGCTTAGCTTTAACTTAACATTTATAATATTAATAAAAGTTATACAAATTAAAGCCCTGCCCTCCAATGGTTAATCTGAAGGTTTATAACGCTAAAATCGGGTTTCTATACTCATACCGATAGCCCATTGTTTAGTTTTGTGCTTATGAACAAACAAACAAAATATAAGAATTATTTTATCCACAGAAGCAATAAACACGACGTATCTAGATATATTATCTACAAATTGACCAATAAATCGTTTCAACACTAAACGGAACCATAGAATTCTGTATTTTTGTTTATTGCTAAGTAGTCTTTTTAATCTTTCGCCTGTCAGTTGTCGAGCCCCCCAGTGGCACAGCGGTATGTCTGCGGACTTACAACGCTAGAAACCGAGTTTCGATACCCGAGGTGGGCATAGCACAGATAGCCCATTTATGAAATTAACCACGATTTCTTTGATTGCGTTATAAACTAGTGTCGTCATATGATCGACTAAATAAGCATTCGTTTTAGTAAAAGGAGAAAATGTCCCCATGTTATTTTGTATGTTTCAGCACAAATAAGGGATCAAACTCTGAATTTTAGCGTTATAGGCCTTGAAACTTACAATTTAGACATCGAAGGCATATATTATTTTATACCAGTACGTTTTTTGTTTTTGTTTTTGAAAAAAGATTCATATATGGTCGTTGACGAAGTATTTGTAATCTTAGTAAAAATTAGCATTTAATATGTCAACTACGATTTTTTTTATCACTTAACTTTAAATTTTTATTTTCATTACTAACCTCAACTCAAATAGATAAAAACCTTGAAGAAGTTATAAAATTAATTTATTATTAAAGAAATGAAAACAATATAAAAGGCAAGATTTTTTCAATTTACGATCAGTATGAACAAAAACACAATATTAAGTGCTGGTGACCATGTCAAAATTATATACATTTAAAGTAAGAGAAAGTATAAAATTTCTCATGCTCTAAGTAATAAAAAAAATCGTTCATACTAGAAAACCAATAGAGAAGATACAATTACCTCTACTTTGGCCAATAAAAAGTCGAATACTAATATGGCATGTTGGATATACTCTAAAAGTAAACCATAAAATAAAAGAATAAATTCTCCTAATCGCTGAACAATAAAGGTCAAAACTAATAACGAATATTGAAGGAGGTATGAAAACCATAAACAAGATTAGCACATCACAAGGTAAAACGTTTCTTCTTTGGTTGCAGCTCAAGAAACAGTCTTCTGATTTGTTGTTTTGAATTTAACATGCGCGAAAAGGAGAAAAAAAAGGCCTTATTTTATGAAGTTTGACACAATATAGTTTTGAGAAATTGTTTATCTTCAACTACAATTCAGTTTGTCTATTTTGTTTATATGAATGTAACGACCTGGATTTAATAGATAAATGCCAAAAACACATTTATGTGCCCCAATAATTATCAATATAATGTGTGTTTTTATATTAAAACTAATATCGGTTGTAAAAACTCTGAAATTACGAAAGTTCGTGAGTGAAAAAAGAAAATAAAAAAGAAGGATGCTAGAAATATTGATAAAATCGTTTCAAAAAATTCATTTAAATAATTGATTTTCAAAACAACACAAATATATTTGCACATAGAAATATCTAATACCGCTCCCTTGTTTTTTTCTTGTTGTTGCTGTTTTTTGCTTCTTTTGAACCTTGATGATCAATTTTTACGTTTACACAAATATATATTAAACAAATGATAATTAATACTATCCTTCTGTTTTGAAGTATTAAAGACAGAAATTTTATTCTATGTCACAAGATATTGATTCTAATAAATTCTTTGCCATTCCATCTTTTTACCTATAATTATAAAGAGTGTTATTGAATCTGTATCAAAATCCCAGCGTATTTGATAAAATTAGAATAATTTTTGATATGGAATAAAGATATATTTTATAGTTGAATGAAGAATTTTGTAGTATATCTTAAGTTAACTTTTGACTGTCATCGTTACTGAGAAATTTTCGAATGCTGGTGCTACAAGACACCGTGAACAAGTAGTCAAAATCATGAATTTTATGTGCTAAAAATAATGAACATGAAACTTACCTCTAAAGCTGGTAGAGGCGTGGAAATTTTCAGTGTATCCAGGCTTCGCTTTTTACGTTTTCGTAATCTGAAACATTACGCATTGAACACTTCTTAAAGTATTCATAAACTTTTACTCAACGATATTTCACTAAATGTAAGTCATTTAGCTGTTTATAAGTTTAAAATCATATAGTCTATTCTTTTTTATATTTACTACAAGCAAAAGTACCCGTCCCCAGTGACGGTTTGTAATTAAGCACAAAGCTACACAATAGACTATCTGTGCTCTGACCACCGCGAGTATCGAAACACGGATACTAGCGTTATAAGTCCGCAGACATACCGCTGTGCCACTGGGGACCCCAGTGACGGGGATGTTTAAGTTAATCTACCAATTTAAATTATTTTGTGTTGCACTCATGGTTTCACTCAGAGTTACTTATACCACCCATAGCAAAAAATAATTGTTTAACATTTCTGTCACGCTAGGAGCCACTTAACAATAACATAGGGTAAATCTACATTTTTTATTGTTTAAATTACGTCACATTTTAAAATGTGAATAATAGTGGGATTAATTCCTAACAATTTAGTATAGAATATCTTTCTTGTGAAATAAGATTTGGCATCAACATTATTCGGGTTCGATCATCGGGATTTAGGTCTTGGAGACCAGGAAGGGTCAGGTACAAACTAGACCTTTTTCTTCCTCCTGAACTCTTGTTATTTGGTGTGCTATTTATTTGTGGTTTGGTAAGCTGATTTGGATGTCTATTTATTACTATTGCTACTTTCCTTTTCAGGGCCATGTCCGTTTATTTTGTCTGATTATGTATTTGTTTTATGTAGTTATGTTAGCTGTGTGGTTGTGTTCTGTGATGTTTGTGGAACGAGTAATCGTATGATCTGTGGTTGTAGGGGTGTAAGGTGTTCGATAGCTATTTTAATACTGAGTGCGATGCAGTCCTCTTGATTTTGGGGGTTTCTGTATTGTGCTAAGAATTCATAAAATATATTTTATGCTGCTTCGGTTATTGCATTTATAGTTTCATTATGATATATTGTAACGTTTCTTTTGTTTGTATGTGTCTTAAGTTTGAGTGTGTGTTCGTGTGGTCTGTGCGTAAGACCTGTTACATGATCTTCTTCATCGGGATTCGGTCCATGTTTTGTACCAGGGAAGATCAGGTTCAGCGTATACCTCTTCCTCCCTCTCATCAACATTATTCATGCATGCCTGTTATCCCGTCATTTTCAAATGTGAATGTTGAGCTTTGCCTGCGTGCGTATCTTTTCAAACGCAGCGCGGGAAGCGACCACCATCAACTGGAGACAGACGAATGCTGGGACAGACACCACGGTTCACAACACATATATATAAAATTGTATCTAATCCAACTTTTTTCTTGCAAACCCCGTAAGAATCAACAAATAAAAATATTGTATTGAAATAGTCTTGCCGAGGTTAATTGATTTTCAGCAAGAACGTAGTAATATTCAAGACAACATATAAATATACGACTTATAAACATATTCTTATGTTTGGAATAACTAAGTCATAAATTATAACATGAACAATCTGAACATATTTTCAAATAATGGTTGAATAATAGTGTTGAGTTCATTTTATATTGGGGTAATTATAGTAATATGACTTTAAAATTGTAACAAAATTGTATTTAATTAAATAAGTCATTTCTTCAATAGACCTACAGAGTTTTGTTGAAAGACGAGTTTAAAGAATGTATTTGAGTAAAAAATATTACTGCTTATTTTACATGCATATGTAATTGAATGCTGAAAACGAATGTACAGAAGTAATTTAATTAAATGGTTCATTATTCCAGTACTTTGAAAAGCCAGGATAATTACAGCTTCCTTATCATTATTTATTGACTTACTTATCTTTCTGAAAACGTAAGCTATAGCTGTTATGGGTAACCAACGTTTTGTGATGGTCGGGTAGTTTGGGATTCTGAAAAGCGCCTTTCTACTAGCATCTATTATAAACAATCAAAGTTTTGTGATGGTCGAATAGTTTAAAATGTGCCTTACTACCAGCATCTATTATAAACAATCAAAGTTTTGTGATGGTCGAATAGTTTAAAATGTGCCTTACTACCAGCATCTATTATAAACAATCAAAGTTTTGTGATGGTCGTAGTTTGAGATTCTGAAAATGCGCCTTTCTACTAGCATCTATTATAAACAATCAAAGTTTTGTGATGGTCGGGTAGTTTGAGATTCTGAAAAGCGCCTTTCTACTAGCATCTATTATAAACAATCAAAGTTTTGTGATGGTCGAATAGTTTAAAATGTGCCTTACTACCAGCATCTATTATATACAACCAAGCCCCCCAGTGGCACATCGGTATGTCTGCGGACTTACAACGGTAGAATCCGGGTTTCGATACACGTGGTGGGCAGAGCACAGATAGCCTGTTGTGTAGCTTTTTGCTTAACCTCAACCAAACAACAAACAACAAAAGTTTTGGGATTGTCGAGTAGTGCGAGACTGTGAAAAGTGCCTTACTATCAGAGTATATTACAAATAACCGAAATGTTGTGATGGTCGAGTGTTTGAGATTTTGAAAAGTGCCTTACTATCAGAGTATATTACAAATAACCGAAATGTTGTGATGGTCGAGTGTTTGAGATTTTGAAAAGTGCCTTACTATCAGAGTATATTACAAATAACCGAAATGTTGTGATGGTCGAGTGTTTGAGATTTTGAAAAGTGCCTTACTATCAGAGTATATTACAAATAACCGAAATGTTGTGATGGTCGAGTAGTTTGAGATTTTGAAAAGTGCCTTACAACCAGAATCTGGCTCTGTTTGTTTTAGTCACTGCATTTCTTGAGACTTTAAAACTCCCCTATGAAAACTTTTTCATATATTCATTTATATAATGCCACATTATATAATATAATATCTAAGTGACTAGCCTAGAAAAAAAAGTTACATTTACTGAATCGTGAATCAATGCAGATACCATTTTTCAGAAACAGTTACCTTTGAAATCGGCTGAACTTGTGATGTAACTTGAAATGTTATCTTGGAAGCACTTTATTTATCGCAAGATTTATAATATTGTCGATAAATGAGCCTTGAACACCAAAACGATATTTCAATAGTTACCGTTAATTTGACGAGTTTAACGCACGTCAAGCGTTTTACTAATTCTACTGAACAGTTTGTGTTTCAAGATCAAAATGATAAAAATTATTAAATTCTCATAAATGTAAGTTTTGAATACTTCAAAGTATATGATGAGCTTCATAACTGTTCTCAACATTTGTTGGAAATATGTTTGAAAAGTTAAGAAATGTGAAATACGTAATACAATTGAACGAGGTACTGTGAAATACGTAATACAACTGAATGTGGATAACCAAAGTTTGGCGTTCAACTCGAAATGCGATAAATAACCTTTTCTTCCACACCATTACAAGTGAAAGACAACCTACACATCTTGATCGGAAGTGTTTTTCGTGCTCTTCATCTTAAGAAGACCGCCTAAGCCTTCCGGTACGTCGTCGGCATCTTCTTCTGTAATAAGAGATGTGTTAAGAATGTGGAGACTACAGACTGTCACAGCAGGAAACTCTAACTCTTTAAGATCGTTGACCTAGAAACGAAAAATAGAATAAGTAAGCCTTTCGGCCATTGTCGTTGAGGAAACAAGTTAATAATTCCAGCAGAATAATCAGTTACTTCAGATTTAGAGGATTCTTTGTCATCTTTTGAAGGTTATACTTCATACCATAAATGTATACATGCTCATATATTTTATTTGTTTGGTTGTTATTAGAGCAAAGACACTTTGGGCTATCTGCTATGTCCAGCAAGGGAATCAATAGCCAGATTTTAGCGTTATATGTCCGGACTTACCACTGTTTTTTTATAATATTGTATTCAGGTTTAAATTCAGAAGATACAAAGTTTTATTAGGTATTTTCTTTGTGTGTGTAGGAAAGGTGCAGTATTGTATTACTTAGTATTGTACTATTTTCTGTAAATTTAACAGCTGAGGAATAGAGTAAATACAAATCAAAGAAATGCTGTAGTGAAAGGTAGAAAAAAAAAGATTGTAAAATTGGAAAATATCATGTTTATCTTCTTCCTATAAAATAAAGACAAATAATTAGAAGGAAACCTGCGTGATGATTGATCTGAATAGCTTCTGCATTAATATAGTTAGTCTAAAAGTATTAAAATGCTGTAGATTAACAGCAGAAGCTTAATCCTGCTTATACATATGTCACACCACAAAGGCTTCAGAGAATTAAATGTATTTTAATAAAAACGATTAGCATACGTAGTTGCGTGTCTCTGCAGATGCGAGCCTTGATACCATGTACGACACATCCAACACCTCTACATCTGGTTCACTACTAATTCCCAACTATTTAACAGCGCAATTTTGCCATGGTTGAACTTACGGTTGGATCATTACGGAAAATAATATCTGTATAGCGAGATTATCAAAAGATGTAGAGCTAACTGATTGTTTGTTTGTTTTTAATTATGCACAAAGCTACACAATGGGCTATCTGTGCTCTGCCCACCACGGGTATCGAAACCCGGATTCTAGCGTTGTAAGTCCGCAGACATACCGCTGTGCCACTGGAGGGCAGAGCTAACTGATATAGCGCTTTGAAAAAGGTGTAGAGCTAACTGATATATCACTTTAAAAAAGATGTAGAGCTAACTGATATAGCACATTGAAAAAGGTGTAGAGCTAACTGATATAGCGCTTTGAAAAAAGATGTAGAGCTAACTGATATATCACTTTGAAAAAGGAATCCTTTAATGTTCTCTAAAAAACAGGAAAATTCGCATGGCAGAGTGTTTAGTAAAAACAAAAGGCTTCGAAAACACATCAACAAGTCAATCTGGACCAACGCCATCATTCACAAAGTGAATGTCATGGTTACGAAAAAGGACCCCCTGACCCAAAATGCAATTGCGATGAAGTCAACGAAAGCCCATAAGTTAATAATTTACAAGCTTCTAGCCACATCACAAAACTAATGTTCGTTTTCATGCAAAAAAAAAGGCCGAAAAACTGGAATCACGGTTATTTCATTCGAACGCATACACACAAGATATCTTCTGATGTATCTCCAATGGACTTCTATATTATCAGTCCATTTAACTCTAGGAACGGACATCCACGTTTAATAAAGGTTCTGTAAAAGGGTTTTCATGGTGGAAATTGTGGTGTTGAGAAATTGTGTATAACCATAGCCATCAGGATCAACATGATCCAAAATGGGGGAAAATGGTTCCAATTGAAGCACAGGACATGAAGCATCGTAATATTGTAAAACGCTACCTACTCTCACTAGCATACAATTATTTCATAAGAAAATTTCAGTAAATTAGTAAAGAGCAGGAAAGACTTGCTTTACTTGCAGAAATACCACCAGTTTCATGCATGAATTTTAAAAACACGGAGTCAAGTAAATGTAGTTAAAGACCATCAAGTAAACATAGTTAAATACCATCAAGTAAGCATAGTTAAATACCATCAAGTAAACGTAGTTAAATACCATCAAGTAAACATAGTTAAATACCATCAAGTAAATGTAGTTAAATACCATCAAGTAAACATAGTTAAATACTATCAAGTAAATGTAGTTAAAGAGCATCAAGTAAACGTAGTTAAAGACCATCAAGTAAACGTAGTTAAATACCATCAAGTAAACATAGTCAAATACCATCAAGTAAATGTAGTTAAAGACCATCAAGTAAACATAGTTAAATACCATCAAGTAAACGTAGTTAAAGACCATCAAGTAAACATAGTTAAATACCATCAAGTAAACGTAGTTAAAGACCACGAAGGTTACAACTTAATCATCAAGTAATCAACGTGATTATATGAACTTGTGTAAAAATTGCTAGTGAACCAACAGACAAGAACAATGGGGAGTACATTTCTTAGAAAAAAAAATGATATTGAAGAAAGAAAAACGCTCTATTTGAGTAGGTTATTTCAGAATTAATAAACAATAGATTGTTTGTAGAGTGAAATATATATATTTGTAATGCACATCATACAAAAGTTATCTAATTTAATTGTAAATCCTTCCACCGAAGAAACTTTTCGAGAGTAAGGCTACATTATAACTGATGAAATATTATTACATCAAAGAAAAACCTTAACTTTCGAGTAAATCTCTTAACACAACAAAAACAGTTGCACAGATATAGGAATAATGATAGATTATAAAAGTTGGAAAGTATATTCGGTTTTGCTTCACTCTAACAACTAAATAATACTTTTACTAATTATACTTAGTTATTAGGAAACTTAGATACTAATTTTGAGCTATTAAATCATTCAAAGTTTCATAACACATTTCGAAATTTTAATAGCAATGAGTTAAATACAATGATTTTTAAATGTTGTCAAAAAATTAATGTCACGGTCGATTTTAATATATATATATATAGTTTAGAAACCGAAAGACCGACACATGAAACTCAGCTGAAACATACAATGCATTCACGTAACATGAAGCTTAGTGTTAATAGCTCACATCTCAGTTTTAACTCAGTAAAATAATGTGTATTCAGTCCAACCTTATCATGCCCCAAAAGACGAGATTTCCGAATACCGTGAAGCTGTTATTTATTGGATAAACGGGATGGCGCTTATTGAACTTTATGCATTTTATAGGTCATAGGTCAAAGATCATAGCATCTGGAATATGTGTTGCTTTGAGGTGCTTAATGTTAAATAAGTGTTATGTGTAACACGATGTGCGCATCAAAAGTGATATTTATACATATCGTTTGTCCTTAAGAAGTGTTAATAAAAGTTAATAACAGACGGTAGTTTACAATTCCGTGCATGATGGAAAGGCAGTAACCAAAATACACCATATAAATCAAAGTTAACCACACTGACACTCCGGCCTAAAAAAACAAGGAAAACATGAAATGCATGATTACCTATGCCATTTCATATTTATATATTTTTCAAAACTTTCGAACATAACTATCCTTTTTAACAGAAATTAGTCATAAAATCAATGACTTCCTATGAAGTTTTGTTTGCTTTCTGTAGCTTTTCCCCGTGAAAATATGAAAGGGCTGAAATCGGTCCAGCATTTACCGTGCCAGACTGAGGAGCTGAAGTTCCGCTCGCCCCCCCCCCAAAAAAAACGGTTGCGTTATAAGAGTGACAGTCAATTTTCACTTTTGGATTTGACATGAGCAGTCCAAAAGTTTGCGGTGGGTGGTGTTGACTACCTACCTCCCGTCTAGTCTGCGTAAACCATTAGTTGACAAAAATCTTTGTGTGTATGTCCGCTTATAACTGGCAAATTGCTGGACCGATTGCAACCAAACCTAGCATGTATCCTTAGGATAGGTGGCATAGGGGGTCGATGTTTGGATCTGACTCTCATATGTTACACCTGTGAGCCCTATGTGTTCCCTCTGCGTTGAACGAGTACTCTCAGTTAGTAATTTTAAAATTGGGTACGACAATCGCACATATAGACCTCGTGTAGCTTTGCACGGAATCCAAGAAAGAAACAAACAAACAAAGAAGAAAAATATGAAAACGTCACTAATGGCATTTAAAATCTCATAATTTGTGCTATTTTACTAATCTTAAGAGCTACGGTTTTTTCTTTTCTTCTCATAGCAGAAATATTGACTACACAGTACAGTATCGACAATCCAACACATACATTTCTACAGCGGAATCTATTTTAGTGTACAGCACAAAAGATGGTTTCAAGTTTTGTTAGAGCTTCGTTATAATTTTTTCACACGCTTTAAAAATATATTCTAATTCAAAGCATTGCCTGTTAAATATCGGAAAAGACAAACACGCAACCTCAAAAACAGTTGTTAGTTTTCACTATAAAAAAAACTGTACGTTTCGACTAACTAACTATATATGTTTTTAACATTTTACCTTCTAAAAAGCTTTCTATGTTTCAAACTCAATAACCTCAATATTTTTGCGAAATGCTTTGTATTTGTATGTTGAGATAAAAGTGTGTAAAAAGCTCTAAATATTTATACTGTAATTCGGCCATTTGTGTATGCGTGACAGTCACGAACGATTCGGCAATAAGCTGTGACACGCAGTGAAGAAAACGATCGGAAAAGACGAAATATACAGTAAACATTACCCAAAATATGTGATTATTGGCATAAGTAACATGTAAAACATTCACTAATATATCAGTTTATAGTACGTAGAAATATAACGGGAATACACAATAAAACAAACGTTTATATTTATAACTATTGTAAATATGTTTTGTGTTAATTATCGTCTCGATCTTAGCCCTAGTGGTTAACGTATCTGACGGAGATGGAAGGGGGGAGGAATCTGTGATGTGATAGTTATAAACGTGTTTCACACTTTTAGATGTGGATGCGTTGTAAGAATAAAAATGAATCCCGCTATTCAGGTAAAAGTAACCGTTTCAGGGAACCGGACTTCCCTCTGGTCCTTAGTTCAAAATTAGGGATGGTTTATGCCTGAATCATACAGATGTCTGACTTGGCCATTTCGCCCATTGTGTAGACCAAAAAATATAAAATTTTCATTTCAATAATGTTTTGAACACCCCTTTTTTAGACGAGAAAATTCATAGGGTCTGTTGTCTCAATGAGCTATTGGTTATAGCGTTCTGCTCGTAATCTTCGGGTTGCAGGTTCGAATCCTATCACCGAACATATTTGCCATTTCAGCCGTGGGAGTATTATAACGTGACGGTTAATCCCACTATGCGATTAGAGTAGCCCAGAAGTTGGGGGTGAGTGGTGTTGAGTAGCTGCTTTCTCTCTATTCCAGTGGTTCCCAACCTTTTGTGTCCCTTGCACCCTCCCCTAAAAAGTGTGCATTAGACATTTCCTCTTGGCGACATTTGGGGGAAACGGACCTTGTATAGGCCTCTTCCGCGCACCCTCTGGATCCTCATTTTGCGCCCCCTGTTGGGAACCCCTACTATAGTCTATCACTTCTAAATTAGGGACAGTTTGCGCATAGCCTTCGAATAGCTTTACGAAAACAGAACAAATCAAACAAACAATTATTTTCAATTAATTTTGTTTAATTATCTTGCCCATTATCAGTGTTGTTACCAAACTTTTTGGTGTTATATTATATTACCCATTATCAGTGATATTACAAAGTTACCAAACTTTTTCGTGTTTTATTATATTACCCATTATCAGTGATATTACAGTTACCAAACTTTTTCGTGTTTTATTTTCTTACCCATTATCAGTGATATTACAGTTACCAAACTTTTTCGTGTTTTATTATATTACCCATTATCAGTGATATTACAGTTACCAAACTTTTTCGTGTTTTATTTTCTTACCCATTATCAGTGATATTACAGTTACCAAACTTTTTCGTGTTTTATTATATTACCCATTATCAG